AACCTTAATGTTTATCTCATACAAATTATATAGAAGTTTCAATATTAAGTTATTATTGAACTTTATCTTAATGTTTGAGTAACAAACATTCATTTTTACATGCAAACTAGTAAGGTATTATCAAATAAAAAAATATCATCATAATTATTTCCGTCAAACTGAAGTACACATTTTCATGTCTCGAAAAATATCGAAAGGCTTGCATAAAACAGTCAGATGGTGAGGCAGGAAAATGATTGGATGGAGAGCAAGAACTGACAGCTAAAAATGCTACATAGAAAAATCTTTAATGATCGATAGTCGAGAAAGGACCAATAGCTACATTTGTAAATAACAACGTTTCAGCTGCTATGTATGTAATTGATCAAATGAAATGAAAATGAATGGAAAATAGACCGCTTTATTTTGTAAATAGCAACGTTTCGGGTGCTATCTATGTACATGACCCAACAAAATAGGGGAGAAATTACAGAATAGTTGACTCTAACAAAACGAATAGAAGTATAAATCAAACATGTTACATACCTAACATAGAAAGTTCGACCAACAATGATAACTTGGTTCCTGCTTCTTACTGGCTCTGCAATGTCTTCTATGTTTGATTATATGAAGAGCCGAGTCTTATGCGATCTCAAACGAAGGCTTAATGTAAATACAAGAACTTTGGTAAATAAGGAAAAAACAGAAAACAAAATAATGAAAAGGAGAGGTCGGATCTCATATGATGTCACTCCCACAATCATGTCCCCAGCTGGAAGAGCTCCATCAACAAGTCACTTTGTTTGGTCCCCTTTTCAGGTGCACGCCGCCCTGCGCTGCACGCTCTGGAACGTTCTTCCCGCCGAACCCGCCGTCGTACGAGCTGGTGAGGGAAGCAGCGACGGGGCAGATGATGATGAGCCGATTCCCGCACAGGGAGAATGTGGAGGTGATGAAGTTACCTACGCGGCGGGGCACGGAGATCGTTGCCGTCTATATACGAAACCCGATGGCCACGTCGACGCTGCTATACTCGCATGGAAACGCGGCCGATCTTGGTCAGATGTATGAGCTATTCGTGGAACTCAGCATCCATCTCCGTGTCAATCTTATGGGGTATGAGCTTCTGCAAACCCCGAACGGATTTTGTAATTTTTCTGTTTCCGATTTTGTGGGGCTGTTTTCAGTGTTTTTGGGGGGATTGCGATTTAATTGGGGTTGAGAATGGTTGATTTTGTTCTGTTTTTTTTTTTTTTTTGCGTTTTGGTTTTCTGGATCTGGAAACTTTCAGTTTTGGGAGGATTAGGATGGGAGCTGGAGGGTTTCAGTTTTGCCTTCATTCTGTTTCCGTTAACGGAATCTTGATAGGTTGTTTCGAATTAATGGTGCTTCGCTAACAGTCCCGACTAATTCTTTAATGAACAGTTTGCTTGAAATCTATCCTGTGATGTGTTTCTGTTTAGTTTCATGCTTTTAGGAAGCTCTTCTTTTTCAGACCCCGGGAACATCCATGGTGCCCATGAGTTGATTTAGGTCTTCAGCTGGTATAATTAAGAGCGTTGCTACTTTTTTCTCCCTGAGCTCTTCTGATTTTATTTTGTTTTTCCTGTTAATTTTTCTTGGTTGGAATCTATGGGTTTCTATAAGTGCTAAGAGTTCTGGTCTTTGTTTTGTATTATCTAGCATATTTTTGCAATTTGTAGACTTGTTGTAAGCAGTATTTTAAAGGTGCAGCTGAAAGGTTGGTGCTTTTAATGTATTTTGTATGTGGTTTGTGGGCCTGTGGCTTGCTGTTGCTTTTGAATTGATCAAATTTGTGTTACTTATTTCTTTAACCCCCCAAAAACAACACCTAAGCAAAGGGGACTATATTTTATAGGGGAATTTACATACATACCACCTAATTCCTTTGTTTATATATATGTATATATATTACATTTATATCACCCAAATATTTCATATCACATAAAAAATACCGTAGTTTTGACTTTAAAAATTAAAAATGTGAAATACACCTTTTCATGCATAGGTAAGGTGGTATGTATGTAAAAAATGAAGTTTAGGTGCTATATGGGTAAATACATAGGAATTGAAGGAGGTTTGGTTCAGAGGATCAGCATAGCATCTGTACTTCTAGTTTTCTTGGTAAATCTAATACCATTGTCTTGTTTTTTAACGTATTTTTTGTTGGGGCATTTACCTACATACCACCTAATTCTTATCTATTTAAATATCTTACACTTAAACTTTGATTTTTACATTCACCATACAAAATTTTCATATCACATAAAAAATATCACCTTTTTAACTTTTAAAAAGTGGAATGCAGTGAACTACATTTTTTTATGCACAGCTAAGTTAGTATATATGTAAAAATTGAAGTTTAGGTGCTATATATGTAAATACGTAGGAATTGATTGGTATGTATGTAAATCTTTCTATTTTAAAAAGGCATAGAATCAACCCTTATGGTTCTCTAGGTAAATCTAATTAATACCAATGAATTGTTTTTCAGCTGATTTTTTGTTGGGGCATTTACGTGTATACAACCCAATTCTTAATGTATTCACTCTTCTAGCACTTAAACTTTGATTTTTACATTCATACAACCCAAAATTTTCACGTCACATAAAAAATACCACCTTGTTAACTTTTAAAATGTGAAATACATCTTTTCATGCAAAGGTAAGCTGGCATTTATGTAAAAAATGAAGTTTAGGTGTTAGATATGTAAATACATAAGAATTGATTGGTATGCATGTAAATCTTACATTTTTGTTTCGCCAGCGGCTTGCTTTTAAAAAATAGATGAACGTTGCTATATGGATATTCAAATGGAAGTGTCATAGTTCTTAACCAGTCCGACCCATTGATATTATGATTTTTTTGAAATAGCAATTTTGAGCTTTTTTAATGAAGATTGACACCATTAACCGATAATTTTAAAAATTCTAACCGCTGCAAATTAAGATTTTGAACAACTTCATTCCTTCTTGAATAGTAGCGGCTCAAAATGTCATTTTTTTTGTTCTGGGGTGTAGAATGTTCAGAGGTATAAAGCTTCTCAAGCTAAAATCTGAACTGTTTCTTATGATCCTTACACCACAAACAAAGTTTTGTGTTCAATAAATTGAACTTGATTAAAATTATGTTTTAACACACTTTATATTTCCATTGTTTTTTTTTTGGGCTATTTGATGCTTTGAAAATTTTTTGGGTATTTGAAAATAAGACAAAAGTGCTATTTTTTTAAATTTTCTTTTGGAAGCCCCTCTCCTCACACTTTATGTGGTTGGGGCAATCTTAAAAGAGTTAATTCGATTGATCCGAAGGGCTAAAGTTGGTTGATCAATAATTCGGTATTAGTGGAAACATATGAAAATTGTATACTTAATAGTTAAATCTTCTCTCTTATTTTGCTTCCAGAGAAGTATAAAAACATTGATACAACAATAACAACAAGAAGTTTTTATCCCGCTAAGTGGGGATCCCACAAAGCAGGGTTAGCGGGGATCCCACAAAGCAGGGAAGTATAAAACATTGATGCTTGGATAACTTTAAGTGTCCAAGAGTTCTAATGGTTTTGTTTATAATCTTGATTTAACTCGATCAAGATTTTCTTTTAGATATACCTTCAATTATTTTCTCTTATGTTTCAACTTTTTATGTTGTTTTGTTAGCGCTATTTTTGCTCATTAAGAAGATTTAATTTTCTATCTAACGAGTTTTCTTTGAAAATAGTCACAACATTAATTTCATGAAATTAGACAGTGATCAGCAAAAATTGAACTGCCTGTGTAAAATTATAGGACTATCTGCTTCAGCTTTGTATTAGTTGGTGATAGGGTTTATTGAAATCAAACTTTAGAAAGGATGTTGATATTTGTAAAATTTACATACCTAGCACACAATTGTTTTTAATTTACATATCTCATAGCTAAACTTTCATATTTGCATACATAGCACAACCTATGCATGAAAAGACGTATTTCAATTTTAAAAGGTGGTAATAATCCTGTTTTTGATGTGATATTAAAGATTTGAGTGCTATGTGTGTAAATATGAAAAACTAGGTGTGAGATATGCAATTACATAGGAATTGTGCGCTATGAATGTAAATACCCCTTGATATGGTCATGCTTGTGTAATGTTCACTTATAGATGCTTTTGGTGTTTAAATACACCTATGCGTACTTGCTTTGAATTAAGGATGTGACACTTCAACTCGACCGAACCTAACTCAAAAGTTCAGGTTCGGGCTGATTCGAACAATTTTTTGGTCGAGTTTGGGATGTGACACTTCAACTCGACCGAACCTAACTCAAAAAGTTCAGGTTCGGGCTGATTCGAATAATTTTTTTGTCGAGTTTGGGTTTAAATATCTTAACTAGTTTAATTTTTTAGGTGACTTGCAATCCTAAATTTATTTGAAATTGACCCACCAACCTGAAATTTATTTGAAATTGACCCACCAACCTGAAATTTATTTGAAATTGACCCACCAACCTGAAATTAACCCAAAATTGACCCACCAACCTGAAATTATCCAAAAATTGACACGAAATTGACCCAAAAATTTCCCAATTTTAACCCGAGTAACTGTTATTCCTTATGTTATAAACGGATTATACGGGTCAGGTTTAATTTGGTGTGTCGAAGGCGGGTCAGGCTTGAGTTGGGATTTTTGACCCAGATAATACTTGGGTCGGACCCAAATGTAACCACTGACCTGAATTGACTTCCCTACTTCAAATGCAAAAAATACCTCGTGTCTTATTTGAACTTATGCTAGTTTTTTAACATTTACAAAGATATTGACCAAAATTTATTCTTTGCAGGTATGATTACTCTGGCTATGGTCAATCATCTGGAAAGGTTCGTGATTTGCAATTCAGAGTATTGAATGAGACTGTTTTGTAAATCATAAAATAAAAAAGTCTTCTTGCAGCCAACAGAGCAGAATACATATTCTGATATTGAGGCCGCATATAAGTGTCTGATTGAGAATTATGGCACGAAGGAGGAAAATATTTTACTTTATGGGCAATCTGTCGGAAGCGGACCTACTCTCAATCTCGCCGCAAGGCTTCAATGCTTACGATCGGTTGTTTTACACAGCCCCATATTATCTGGTTTAAGAGTGATGTATCCTGTTAAACGGACATACTGGTTCGACATCTACAAGGTTGTTTTTTTACTTTCTTATTTTATTTACATACATACCACTCAATTCTTATGTATTTATATATGTATCACCTAAACTTTTATATTCACATGCATAGCACTCAAGTCTTAATATCATATAAAAAATGGCACTAAAATCATTAATGAAAATGAAATCGGTTGTTTTTACTCTTTTTGAAAATGAAATACACCTTTTAATGCATATATGAAGGTTTTGGTGTTAGATATGTAATCACATAAGAATTGTGTGCTATGTATGTTAATTCCCCTTGTCTTTTATCCAGATCTGTTGATGACTAAAGTTATCTTCTTTGATCTGTTTTGCTTCCCAGAATATTGACAAGATTCCGTTAGTCAATTGTCCTGTGCTAATAATACATGTAAGTTAAGCTCCTTGATTTTAGTATCATTTTCTCTATCCAAATTTTAATGCTTTATGCACTCAAAATTGCCGACTTTATACATATTTTTGTTAGATATCAAGCACCGTTTTTTGGCTTTCGATTACTATGAAAGTATTGCATATTTTGGTTCTTTTTATATTTGAATGGCTTTAGAATTACTCTCTAAAGATTGGGAATCAACCACTAGTTCTGACATTCTGTGCCTGACTTGAATTTTGTTTGGTTTGGAGATCCAAATTTGTTTTTACAGAATGGTTATCTATTTTTGCATAGTTTTGAAGAGAACACAATCTCACAAGCCTAGTATCGTTAGACATGTCATCACATTCTCTCTCTATTTTTTATCTTTATCTCTTTATAGTCCCATGAAATATTTCGAGCCTAGCATATCTTGTCTATTAGTATTTGTAAAGTTAGTTGAATTTAACAACATCAAATCATTTAACAACAAAGCTGGAAATAAGTTATGTCTAGGGTGGGCAATTTTCCATTTTGAAATTTGAGATTTCTCTATATAAGTAATAAAATTCAATAATTTTTTTTATTAGTTTATATAATTTAGTATTTTTTCCCTCCATTGATATACTTTTTTGCCCAATGCTTATGAAACATTTGGTGATTTTGCCCATTCTAAAATACAAAGCTGGATTTTTTCCCATCCTAAAATGCCAAGCTATATGATTATAGTACGTCATTGAACCAAGCTATTTTTGTTTGTTATTAATAGTGTAAATAGGATTGATCTTCACAATCATCTGTCTTGTCATTTTTTTCCCATTTGCAATCCCATGAACTTAATATGAACCTAAACTTCACTTTTTTACATTCGATTGTGAACCTAAACTTATTAGGCTTGGTTCGACAAGTTTACAAAGGTGTTCATGGGCCATGGTTTTACTTGGGCTCAATGCGATCACTTTTTTCTTCCTGCTTTTCTTCAATGGCCAAACAATTATCCTTATTATCTAGGTTGTTGTGATTGTTCCTATAGGTAACGATCTCTCAACATTGGAGTTCTTAAGAGACATTCTTGCTAAGTCCTTTGAAATGAAGGATTTGAGATTTCTCGGGTACTTCTCAGATATGGAAGTAGCTTGATCATTTTGGGACATTTGTCTATTGCAACACAAATATGTGGTTGATCTCTTGATAGAAAACAACCTTCTTCTGTGCAAACTAGTGGTTGTCCTTATGAATTCTAATGAAAAATTATTTTACTTTCCCAATTCCGTGTTGGTCAATAATATTCACTATCAACGCCTTTTGGAGAAACTTATCTATCTCGTCCATACTTGTACAAACATATGCTACGCAGTTGATATAGTGAGTCAATTCATGCATGACCCTTATGAGCGTTTTCTACAAGCTGCTGATCAGATTTTGCACTATTTAATAGGTACACCTGGTTCAGGTTTAATTCTCTCGCCACACCTCTCCTTCTATTGTTGTTTATGCATATGTTGATTTGGTCGGGTCGATTCATGATTGGCGTTCCATCTAAGGTTATTGCTCATTTGGATGGGAAAATCTTGTTATGTGAAAAATTAAAAAAATAGTCTGTGGTTATCCAGAGCAGTGCTGAAGCTGAATTCGGGTCTATGTCTCATGCTCCGTGAACTCTTGTGCCAACCTCTATTTCGCTGCAGCTATTCTGTGATAAGAAGACCGCCATTAACATTATCCACAATCCGGTTCAACATGATCGTACCAAATATGTGGAGATTGACAAACACTTCATTAAGGAAAAGATGAATCTGGGGAAATTTATATTCCTTTTGTGCCCGCGGATATCCTCACGAAGAATTTTCTCATTCTTTGTTCAATGACTTCAAATCCAAGTTGAATATGACTGACGTCTATGCTTTAACTGGAGGGGAAGTATTAGATTTATAATGACAATCCTTAGTCGTTATTACTTAGAAGAGTAGATATTAGCACAATATCGAGCGGAAAACCAAAAAGAAATAGAACTTAAAACAACATTCCATCATTAGAATTTGGTAACTAACAAATGAGACAGTTCGTATAGTCATTTGGCATGCTGTAGTGTTAAAATTTGTTATAATTTTTGTTTCTGTTGTATCATATATATAAGACTGTTATTGCTTTGTCCCAAACAATTTAACTAAACAGGGGCAAAATTATCATTTTTCCAGAAACAGCTGCCTCACAACTGTTTTTACACAGCTGCAACAAACAACCAGCCAGCTTCCCTGCAACAGCTTCCCCACAGCAGCTTCCTGGGGCAGGCTGCCTGGGGCAGTGCAGCTGCAGCTGAAAAGCTGGAAAGCTGCAGCTGCTCCAAACAGAGCATCAGTATTGTTTGAATGTCCCAATTGACATGATATTTATCATATATTTCTTGATCTTTGCCTAGGTTTATAAATCTATGCTATTCACATCTATTTATTCTTTACCTTACCAAGAAAATGCGTGTGGCCGCATCACTTCAACATTCATTTGGAGTCAAGGAAATCCTTTTAATCGAATCAATTCAATTACTTTTTAGCAAACAACCTTCACTGAACTTAACTTGCTAAAAATTGGAGTCAAAGGAAATCCTTTTAATCGAAGAATCTGCATCAGATTTCCTAATGAATTACTATAACTAGAGTTCAAATGAGTTTCTTCTCAAGATCAAAACTCAGAAAGATAACCTTTATGATTCTTTTGGCAAGAGATCCAGGCAAAAATGACAGATAGAGCTATTGCAATATCAGCAAGCGCGGACAAGAAGATAATAATGATCAGCTCTTTATCCATATGGTTATGCTGAGAGTTCATAATTACCTGCCTCAGAACAAACTCGAGTGAGCTCGAGTGAAAATACAATAGAATTTATTATAAATGACATGAATGGATCAAAGATCGAGTGAAAATAACAGCTCAGAAATGACAAAATTTTTTTTTTTCAAAACAAAATCCCTAATTTAGCAAAAAGCTGAGAACCTTTTAGCTAAGAACCTTTTAGCTGAGAATAAGGGGGAAACTATTAAAGAAGTAATCTTTAAGGGGTTTCGGTGAGTACCTGATGGAGGTTGTCACAAGAGCAGGAAGAGCAGAACTTGCTTGCAACTGTCGAGGAACTACTCTGCCACTGTTGAGAAATGGGAAGAGGAAGGAGAACAACGGCTTTTGTGGGTCCGACGTGAGGCCCATTCATAGTCGCTAGCTTTCGACGACCGCCGCGATGCACACTGCCCCATCTCATCGGTGAAGATCAGAGAGCAGGAGGATCTGAACCGATCATCTCCGCTGCGTTGTTAATCCTTGCTTCTCTTCTCGAGGGTATGCAAGTAATACTTACGCGAACGAACGCGAGCCGCACGGTCGATCCTGCGGCCCGCTTTTATGTTAAAATGCCAAAACTGTCGCCGCGATGTGTTGCCACCGCTGCCTCAAACGACGCATAAATGCGTCCGCGTGCCGCGCCGCGCCTCCGCAGCTCCCCCAAACGATTATTCTTAGTTTTTATTCTCTTATTATGTATTTTATTTTTTATTTCCGTTTCAATTATTTCCTATTTGTTTTATTTTGTTTTTCTTTCTTTCCTATTTTCTTTATTCTGCTTGATTTCTTCTCTTGGGTGAGTCTATTATAATTGGGTTTAAATATTCATCATTCTATCAATAAAGTGAGATGTTCTATTTCAAATCTCAATAGTTTAAACCAAAAACCCGAACCGAACCGAACCGAGCTAATTTGGTTGATTCGGTTTGGTTGAAAAAGAAATTTCGATTTCAGTTTTAGAAATGTTGAAGTTTGGTTTTCGGTTTACAGTTCGGTTATACTTATTTAACGAAAATCGAATTTTCTTGATAAATCTTTATTGAAATGTTTAGGAAGTAAATTTTTTAATGACTAGCATTACATAATCATCCCTTAGTAATTTTTATTTTCTCTAATTATTGCCATATTCTTATTCCTTCAAATAATATTTTAGTTTTTGTGATACTGAACCGTTCATATCAAATTAATCTTTGGTTTGACTGGTTCAGTTTTATCAAAATTTTGTTTAGTTCGATATTGTAGGTTTTGAATTTTGGTTGAAGTCAATTTCCTCAATTTGAAAACTGAACCAACTGAACCGTCCGAATGCTCACTCATATTCTCCGCAACCTTTCTTGCCGGTAAGACCCTATCACTTTTACTTTTCATTTTGCGTAGTTTTTTAAGTTAACTTTAGTTAAGTTAGAGTAAATCAAATCCTTGGATTAGTCTTTAGTTTGGGTTTTTGACTTAGGTCGACCCGAACCCAGTCTGATCTAAACCTAAGTCGACCTGAGCTGAACCTAAACCGAACCTAAACCAACCTAACCCAAAAAAAGCCAACCTAGTTCATCTCAGGTCTAACACAAGTTCAACCCAGGTTCAACTCAAGTTAAACATAGGTCAACTCACACCAACCCAAGTTCAACCTAGATCCAACCCAGTTTAACCCATTTCCAGCCTAAGTCAAGCCAAGTTCAACCCATTTCCAACCTATGTCAAGCCAAGTTCAACCCAGGTCCAAGCCAAGTTCAACCCAGGTCCAACTCAGGTCCAACTCAAGCCAACCTAGGTCCAATCAAGGTTTATCTGAGGTCCAATCAAGGTCAACCTAGGTCCAACCCCAGTTCAACCCAAGTCCAACCCGGGTCTAATCTCGCTTAACTCATGTCCAATCTAAGTCCAACCCAAATCAACTGAGGTTCAATTTAAATCCAACCCGAGTGAACCTAGGTTCAACTAAGCTCCAATGTTGGTCAACCCAGGTCTAACTTCGGACTCAGGTCTAACCCAAGTCCAGCCCAGGTCAAACATAAATGAAACCCATCGAACCAAATCGAACCAAGCTTGATTTTGAGCTTAATTCAGCTGAACTCTAGCTAACGTTAGCTCACCCCCAGCTCAAATCTAATCTAAGCTAAACTTTAAATTACATTTCTCTGTCTTGTTGTATTCATGTTTGTTGTTTTTTAACGTAACATGTTTAG